CCGCGCGCGCGCGCGGTCTGGCCGCGGCCGGGCCCCTCTTCCCGCCAGTGTTTCCTCCCCCTCCTCCCCCGCATCCCTTCTCCTCCTCCTCTCGCTCTCCCGCCGCTCCCCACACTCTGTGTGGCACAGCCACCCCTCACTACACACCTCACTCTTCTCAGTTTGGTCTTCGCGCTCTCTCCTCTCCACCCTTTTTCTTCCACGTCTCTCTCACCTCCTCTCCCCACTCCCGGTTCCTCGAGCCTCCCTCACACCCCTCCTTTCTCGGCCTCTCCCCGTCTCTGCCCTTCTCTTTCCCACCGGCCCGCTCGCTCGCTCTCCACACTCCTGTCTCCCTTTTTCTCCTTTTCTCTATTTCCCGTCTGCTGTTCTCCCTTCCCCCGCTTTCCTTCCTTCTGCCTGCTCTCTCCTGCCTGCCCCGCTCGGCCTTGGCCTTTGCATCCCGGCCGCCAGCAAGCTCTCCGCTCCTTGCTTCCCCTGCTCTCCCTTTCCTTCCCCTCTCCCCGCCTGCCGTCTCGGCCTTCTTACCCCGTCTGTCTCAGCTGCTCCCGGGCTGCTCCTCCAGCTCCGCACCCTCCCCTTCTCCCCCGACCGTCTCCTTCCTCTGCCTTCCATTTTCCGACTCTGTCCCTTCCTCTCTCTCCCTCCTTCTCCTTCCCCCAGCCTCGCTCTCCCCGCCACGGTCTCCTTTCCTCTCCCCTCTCCGCCTCCTTCTCTCAGGGTACCCCCCCAGTCCGTCTTCTCACTCATCTTCCTTTCCCCCTCTCCTCGTTCCATGTTTTCCCCTACACTTTCTCTTCCAGTCTTTCCTCCTTGCTCCCCTCTTGCTCGTCTCCATCCCTTCTCTCTGCCCCCCTTCTCTCTCCTCCTCCTTTCCAATCTCTCTCCCTCTTTCCTTTCTCTCCTCTCTGAATCTGTCACCTCTGCTCTCTCTCCTCCAGGACTTCTCCCCTCCACTGGCCTCCTTTCCTCTGCGCCTTGTCTCCCAGTCTCCCTGTGTCAGGGAGGCCCCTCCATTGTCAGCCAGCCGCATCCTCAGCAGGAGCTCTGTGATCCTCTCCTTTGCCTCCCCCTCCTTCCCTCTCCCTCCCTGAAGTTCAGAGCTGACATCCTCCTAGGGATCTGTGCAGGGTTTGTGGCAAGAGGCTGGACAGCCTGGAGCAGGGCTGCCAAGCCAGAGCCCCCCTTGGGTGGAAGGGCCTCTGTGACACCCATTTTCTCTCTTTTTTGTCTGTCCTGGATGCTGGCCACTGCCTGGAGGAATGAGGCCTGCTCCCAGCCCAGGAAGGAGGATCCAAGGAACTGGCTTAGAGACAGGGAGTGAGTTGCCTAAAGACACTTGCACGTAAGTGCCAGGGTGGGGCTGGCTGGGCCACCCTGCAGTTGGCCAGGAATTGGCTCCTCCACTCTCCTGATCCCTGGACTCCTGTATGAGCTTGGTGAGAAGGGGGCTGCCTCCTTTCTGCCCCGTTCTCCTCCCCAACCTGCCACCATCTTCTCTTCCTCAGGCAGCATGGAGCATGGGAGGATTTCACCTGACTCCCATTTCACAGATGAGAAAATAGGCATCGGTGTTCCTGAAGACCAGCATCTGCTAGGACAGAGGCTTCATGGGAACCCCAACCTTCCCAAGGGCTAAGAGCACCCCCTGCAAGGCACTTCTCTTCAGGGAGAGGGTCCATGTGGGCCTGACCTCCCCAGAGTATCCAGGAGAGCATCCTATGGGTCTGAGAGGCATTCTCAGGCAGGGTGAAATCTTTTATCACCACCTACTGATAAAGAACAGAACTGTAACCCAGCTGTATTAGACACCAGGAATGATGTCAAGCAAAATTCTGTAAAAGTAAAATTTTTACTCCTGGCCAATATGTAAACATCACACCCAGCAAGCTTCTTGGTATGCCAATTTACACCTCCAGATTTCATGTTTGTAAGTCATCCTATGGGTGGATTCTCTTCTGTGTTGCCATGGAAATGCACACATGCCTACTATGGGAAACTAAGGAAAGTGGGATTTGGTTTACAGAGTTTGCTTGGTAGCCTATTTCTAGGAATTGGGCCAAATTGAGTTTTCCTTTGTAATGACACCATTATGCCTTGCTGACTGGGAGGTGGGTGCAGGCAAAGATGAATGACAGCTAAAGAAGCCCCAGGGATTGGTCTCTGATCCTCACCATGGAGTCTCTCTGATGGGTTAAATAAAGGAGCTTATAGAACTCATTCCAAAAGCCACCTGCTATAATGCACAATTCTGGATAGTAGAGTCTTAAAATATACTAAAATCAGCCTTACATATTTTAAAAGATTGCCTATCCTATAACTCTGTGCTAAGTATACCTAAATGACCATATGAAACGCTGGGCTGGGAAAGGGGTTTCCTAAATGCCAGGAAGCAGGTAACATTTTGTAGGGCAAAGAAGGGCATCCAAAGGGCAAGGCAGGAAACTGGGGAGGGAGACAATCCTTTCCCTGAGCATTTACCTTGCAGGTGCTCTCCCACCTTAGACCAGAGGTCAGGAGGCCAGGGTAAGGGTGCAGGAGGGAGAGAGTGGGCACTGAGCTCCATGGGGACAGAGAGGGAGGCATATGGCAGAAAGGTGGATGGGGCCATGGGGGCTTAGAGGGTGCCTGCAGCCTGGCTGGGTGGTATCTGAGGGACTCATTCATTGAGGTTGGGGGGTGCTCGTCAATGAGGCTGAAAAGGAGGAACAGATTGGAAACTAACAGACCTCCAAGGCCAGGCTGAGGGGCTGGGACTTTGTCCTGAGGGCACTATGCAGCCATGGGAGGGCTCAGAGCCGGGGAGGAGTGGGGGGCAGCTCTGGTGTCAGAAATCCACCCCCCTGAGGCCAGGGAAGGAGGCTGGGCTGATGGTCCAGGTGGGGGAGGATGAGGCCAGGGCTGGGGCCAAGGGGGACAGGAGAAGCGGTGAGGCAGGAAGGAACAGCAGAGTACAGCACCTACTCCTGCAGGGGCTCCGACTGGGGGCGGATGGGTGGCAGAGACTCTCCCAGAGGCACAGCCTGGGGAAGGAGCCAAGGGTCTGGAGACCAGGAGGGGTGTCTGAGCGGGAGACGGGTTTGATGGTCAGCAAGAGGGCTCCAGTGTGGATGGGAGGTGGCTGAGGCTGCCCCCAGCAAGTCCCCCTCTGGCAGTGTGTCCTGCAGACACATGTGCATGTATGCGAACTGATGCGGGCGCATGGGGATTCCTGCAGCACTGCTTGCAACAACCTGCAGGTCCCTCCACGGGGACCAACGAAGTCAACTCCGAGCCAGCTACATCACAGAATGAGGATGCACTTTATATCCCAGATGGAAACCTCTCCAACTTAGATAGGGAGAAAAAAACTAGAGCTACAGAGTGCCTGGGTGGCTCAGTTAAGCGTCTGCCTTCAGCGCAGGTCACAATCCCGGGGTCCTGGGATCGAGCCCCGCATCGGGCTCCCTGTTCAGCAGGGAGTCTGCTTCTCCCTCTCCCTCTCCCCGTCCCTCTCCCCATACTTGTGCTCTCTCTCTCAAATAAATAAAATCTTAAAAAAAAAACTAGAGCTACACATTTTTGTAAAACTATTTACACAGATGTTTGCTTGTTTATGTAGAGAGTATCTCCAGAGCAACAAGCAGGAGACTGGAAACTCAGGCTGCCCCCGGTGAGGGGAACAGGTGCCAGGCTGGGGTGAGCGGAAGGCTCTTTGCTTTGGATCCTATGGTATCTTTTGAGTTCCTTGCTATATCCCTGGATACCTTGGTCAATAATATGAAATAGTAAATGGGCTCTCCAGGGAGAGGCAAGAATTAGAAAATTTTAATGAGGACAGAGCCCCAAGGAGCCCAAACTAGCTCAGACAGTGACTGGAATATACCACAGATTAACCCTGCTGGCTCCAGAGTGATTCAAAGAGTCTTAGAGGAAAAGAAGGTAATCAGGTAAAGAGCTCAATCTCAATCCATTAAAAAATTACAAAATGGTCCGACAAATGACTGGGGCAGGAATGCACCTGCCAGTGAGACGAAGGGTTAGGAACTCCGAGTCTGAACCTTGTCCAAGAAAGCACGAGGAAACACCATGGGGGCAATTCACGTGGAGCACAGACGGGAAAGCACCCCTGGAACACTGTTTTATGTATTAAAGCCACAAAGAAACGGGTCGAACGATAACCCCCAATGTTGTGTGTAACACAACAACACAGTCGAAGAAAATACTGCGGAACTGCAAATCGGTGGGACTGTTTGGGACTCTCAGGCCACTTGTTGCAGCACAGCGGGGAGTGGCTGGCCCCTGGGAGCGAGGTCTGAGGGAAGAGAAGGGCCAAAGGAAGGGCCACAGCAGGACAGGAATCCAGAGGGACCAGAAAACAGACAGGGTGGCTTGAGGAGTCAGACAAATCACAAAAGGAATTCAAAATCGTTAAGTGCTGCCCTTGAGCAAAGGACAAGAATGGTTCCCAGAAAATCCCAATTGGTGCTACCGGGCTCCACTTCCCTCTTGAGAGAGATACAGAGCCTCACAACACGGAGAGGTTTAAGCCATCTGCTGGCGAGGTCGTGGGGGAAAGGGGACTGGCGCTTGCTCCATGGAGAGCAACTTAGCAACATGGGTCACGTTTACAAACGCCACCTTCCTTTGGCCGCCGCTGGGGTTTCATCTTGGTTACAGCTGCATCTGTGAAAAGGGGTGACATCCGTAGGTGGAGGCCAGGTTGAATGAGCTCCAGGCGCATGTCTCTGGTGGGGCACAAAAGACGAGGCCAGTCCCCCACTAGGAGAAGTCTCCAGAATATACGGGGCAGGAGCAAAGAAGCAAGGGCAAGGCTGTGTAGGAGATTCGCTACTTGTGCGTTACAAAAAGGAGAACAGCGTGTGTCCCTACCTGCCCGCGCTGGTACAGACACGAGGAGGGAAATGAAGCACATGAGAGCAAGCGGGGGAAACAACTGTCCACCACACACCTCTTACGCTGTTTTGACAGCAGAGCCACACGAATGCACCACTTTTTCATAAAAGTGCTTCCAATCTGCCATCGTAATTCCACTTTTGGTCATGCATCCCCAGGAAATAATTCAAACTCACCAAAGAGAGACTGGAGAGCGCTCGCTGTCGTGCTATTTATAACCACATCCAGCAGGAAGCTAAATGTTGAACATTTGGGGAACGGTTTAATAAACTGCCATACAACACTGCGGAGCGTTACACGGCATTTCAGGGACCGTGCCGGCCATTTCTGTGTGCTTCTGAATAATACACAGAGCGGAGCGGCGGAACTCAGTCAAGCCTGTACACCAGAACTTCCCTGGAACCAAATCAACGGGTGCCTTTGGTTGCTGGAAGTCGCACCTTTTCAAAACCCTGATGTATCTCAATATATCGTCGATATTTTTAAATAGACAAAGGGGGGGTGGTGATAAACAGGAAAGGCCAGCAGTCCTCTCCTGGTGGCCTGTCCCAGGGAAGACATTCCAGGCAGGGGAACGGATTCTATTTGCATCATCCGGCCCTCGACTCTACTAAATATTAGTTTGTTTTGTCTTTACTTTAAAAATCATTTCTTCATGCCCCAAAGCCTATGGGAGGCCTGGCATCCTGATGGGGCAGGACGCCTAAACTCCTGCTCAGAGCCATGGGCAGATAAAGGCCGGAGAGGTGTCCCAAGGCAGCGCTGCTGGGAGGAATGGGGCCCAGGGGGCGCCCATGGCCAGCCCACACCTGCTCTGTGCCAGGCCCCTCAAGGGCAGACAGGTGGGAAGTGCGTGGCCCAATCCAGTGTCAGACAAGGTAGAGGGACCCTCTAGCCTAGCCAGGGACAGGCAGGGCAAGAAGACCACGAACAAAGGCACAGAGGCTGGAGAGAACTCGGCATGTTCCCAAACTACGAGGCTCAGGGGAAAGGGGGACAAACACAAGGTCAGAGCTGGACCAGGAACTCGAGCTCCATGCTGTGGGCAAGAGGAAGTCTTTGGGGCCACGGAGGGACCACAGGGGAAGGCAGGGTGCACCAGAATCTGGCCACCCGTCCGCCCAGAGGGAAAGGACTCCTGGGGAGGAGTCCTTCTACCCTCATGGGATGGAGCTGGGAGGAGCTAGCAAATCCTTCTTGGGATGATCAAGGACAGGAGCATTCTGGCAGGAAGGGAGTTGCCTGGACGAAAGAGGACCAGGCACTGATGCCCTGGCCCCTCAGCGGCCACTGCCCCCACCACCACCCCCGCCGCCACCCCCTCCCTGGCCCCCGGCGTCTGGAGCTCCTGACATCATGAGGAACAGGACGACAGGAATGATGTACATCCACTGTGGGCCAGGTGGGAGGATGGGACGATGGACAAACAAACAAAGAGAGAGACAGAAAGAAGAGAAGTGAGTATGAGCCACATTCCCCCAGGGCGGGAAGGTAGGGGAGCCGGCGTGAGGGGAGGCCACGTGAGGGAAGGGGGCCCAGGTCCCCTACATCACTACAGGTTGGGGAAGGGCTGGTGGGGTGCAGGGAAGGTGGAGGCGGGAGGGGGCTCAGTCCTCACTCAGGCCTCCTGCGGCGGCGGCGTGGGCCCCGGGGCGGCAGGACGCAGGGCTGTGAGCAACACAGCCCCCCCGAGGATGAGGTGCCACTGAGGAGGGAGGGGGCACAGGTCAGGGCCAGGGGTGGCCATGGGGTCCTGTGGCCATTGGGGAGGGCAGATCTGGGGCAGTGGGTTCTTGGCCTCTCTGGACCTCAGTTTCCCCACAGTGCAGCTGTCAGGAGCTACTGGCAAACCAACGGGGCCCCACAGGCACCACACTCAGGGCAGTAGGGCTTGGCATCCTCCCACCCACAGCGGCCTCCGCTGTCTCCTGCCCTTGCCTTGGGTGGACCAGCCTTCTGCCCCAGTGCCCCCAGCACCCCCCCACCAGCCCCAGCCCGGCAGCCCAGGCCTGCCCCTTTCCAGCTCCAGCCAGCCTCCCGAGCACCTCCACTCATAGCCCTACCTCCCCTAACCGCCCCTTCTCAAAGCCACCAGCATCCCAGGCCCGGCTGGAGGACCCCAACCGGCCTCTCCTTTCCAAAGCTCCCCGTTCCATTTAAATCTCTGTCTCCTTCCCTTCTTCAGCCTCCCAGTACTGGCCCAGCTCAGGCCTCGTCCCAGCCCCCTCCCAGTACTGCCCATCCCTCCCCTGACCACCGCCCTCCTCACTGCCCTTCCTCCAGACAGGCCTCTGTTCAAGACCAACACTGCCTGTACTGCACCT